TGGGCCCAGCTCTGCCCGACCTGGGCATTGACGTGACTGTGCGCACAGCCCAACCCCCGACCACCTCGCAAGCCTGCATCAAGGTGGGCGCTGCCCTTCGCCGAGCCGAAAAGGAGAAGCGCGACTACTACACCGGTTTCAACCATGGAAAAACTCTGATCGTCCCTGCGGCGATGACGACAACCGGTGGGTTCGCCTCCTCCTTTGTGGATCTGCTTGGTCAGCTCGCCCGCTGCGCCGAGGCCCGTGGTGTGTACCAGCCGGGGCTGGATGAGGCCTTTGTTCCTCGATGGAAGGGTCGCTTTGCGGCGCTGGTCCATCAGATGAACGCTGACCACATCCAGCGCCACTTTGGCGGTGTCTGCCTGCGCTCGTCGTAGGTAGGCACCGTCCCGGGGGTCCCTCTGTGGGGATCCCTGTGTGCACCCGTCACTCCCTTGGTGGTTCTCGTTGTGTCTGTTGATGGCTTGACTTGTATTTTTGTCTGATTTTGCTTTGATTTCTGCTGTATCTGTGTGGTATTTTTGCTGAATTTTTGTAAGGTCCTTTGTATGATGTCTTTGTCTGTGGTCGGTTGTTTTCTCAATCCGACGTTGTGTCTCGTTGGATGTGAGTGTGCCGTGGTGTTCTTTGTTTTTGTGCTGTGATGGCGTGTACTTGTGATGTGTGACTGCCTTTTTGTGTGACTGCCTTTTTGTGTGACTTGTGGTTAAAATGGCCGTATCTCTGGTTTTACTTGGTCGTTTTGTACGATTTTTGTTTCTATGAAAAAAAACCGCTGCGGTTTTTTTTCTATGTGCGTGATTCTTCGCGCTTGTACTTCTTGGCATGATAGAAGCCGATGAATGTAGCTTGTTCTCTTGTGTTGTTTTGCGTGCCGTCGTGATTTTGTTGTCGGGGTTGCACAGCTTTGCTTTCAGCTCTGAGGTTCAAACACCTAATTTATTTATTCTATGTCGATGACCTCCTGATGTTTGCCAGTAACAGCCTCATCCTCGATCAGACCAAGGCTCTCCTGCAGCAAAAGTTTACCATGACCGACCTTGGTGAGATTGAGACTTATCTGGGCATGGAGTTTGCACGCAACGGTGATACCATGACCATCAAGCAGACAAAGTACATCGACGATATCTTGGCTACCTTTCACATGACCGATGCCAAGCCCGCGCCGATGCCATTGAGTCCAGGCATTTGCCTCGACAAGGGGGAGTACCGACATTGACCCGTCGATCCCTTACCGTGAGCTCTTGGGCAAACTGATTTACCTCATGACTCACACTCGCCCTGACATTGCCACCGCTGTCAGCATGCTGGGCTCCTTTGCCAGCTGCTACACCGTAGAGCATTGGAACGCTGCCAAGCACCTGCTCCGCTATGTCAAGGGCACGAAGGACCTTGGTCTGACTTATCGGTCTGGCCAGCACCTTCGCCTCACGACCTACACTGATGCGAGCTTTGCTCAAGAAACTGGTCGTAAGTCTCGTGAAGGCTGCATTGTCTACCTCGCTGGTGGACCCGTGCAGTGGCGCTCCAAGCTGCAGACGGTCACTGCCACGTCTACTGCTGAAGCCGAGTTTATGGCTGCTTACTCTGCGGCCAGCGAGACTATGTTTATTTTACTATGTTTGTTGATCATTTGGTTCGTGAACTCTCACACGCCGTCTTCAAGCCCGTGTTGTTCAGTGACAACCAGGCGGCGATCCACATGATTACAAACGGACTTCGATTGGTTGGATACCTCTGTGACAATCGCCTTGTCCACACACATAACACTGTACTGGACATACACCTTTAATAGAGATACGGCCATTTTAAACACAAGACACATAAAAAGGCAGTCACACATCACAACTACAAGCCATCACAGCACAAAAACAAAGAACACCACGGCACGCTCACATCCAACGAGACACAACGTCGGATTGAGGAAAACAACCGGCCACAGAAGAAAAAGACATCATACAAAGGACCTTACAAAAATTCAGCAAAAATACCACACAGATACAGCAGAAATCAGCAAAATTAAAACAAAAATACAAGTCAAGCCATCAACAGACACAACGAGAACCACCTAGGGAGTGACGGGTGCACACAGGGATCCCCACAGAGGGACCCCCGAGACGGTGCCTACCTACGACGAGCGCAGGCAGACACCGCCAAAGTGGCGCTGGATGTGGTCAGCGTTCATCTGATGGACCAGCGCCGCAAAGCGACCCTTCCACCGGGGAACAAAGGCCTCATCCAGCCCCGGCTGGTACACACCCCGGGCCTCGGCGCAGCGGGCGAGCTGACCAAGCAGATCCACAAAGGAGGAGGCGAACCCACCGGTTGTCGTCATCGCCGCAGGGATTGTGCAAGAGAGGTATGAACGCAACCAGCTCGATGTCCGGTTCTGCGGGACCAAGGACATGGTTGCTGACCTTCTCACCAAGCTGCTCAATGGACCGAGCCATCGTCGTTTATATTTTATTTGTGTGACATGCTCTTCCGTTCTCAGCTTGAAGGGGAGTATTAGAGGCACAATCTGAGACGGTATACTTTACCACGTTGTGTGTCCTCTGGTACTTGATGTTGTCCCACCTTGTTGTGTAACATCTTGCTGTACCATCTTGGTGTATCATCTTGTTGTGGCATCTGTTGGTCCCAACAGATTGCTGATATCGCTTCCACCTGTCTTCAGTGTGATAGTCCATTCTCTGTCTCCACTGTGTGTGTGTGTTTCCACCTGCTATAAATGGGAGCGATCTCCCTGGATCGGTACCATTTTCCTTCTTGACCTCAGTCGTTCCACTTCCCTCCTTCTGTTTTGTTCTGTCTTGTTCCTTCGCCTTGCTTCAATCCATGTTCTCGTATGCACTTCGATTGGTTGAATACCTCCATAGAGCTGCTACCTCTGTGACAATCGCCTTGTCCACACACATTACACTGTACTGGACATACACCTTTAATATGCTCGGGCCTGATCTGCTTGGGCCTGATCTGCTCGGGCCTGATCTCCGTGAACCTGATGTAGTTAGGCCTGATCTGCTCGGGCCTGATCTGCTTGGGCCTGATCTGCTTGGGCCTGATCGCCTTGGGCCTGATCGCCTTGGGCCTGATCGCCTTAGACCTGATCTGCTTGGGTCTGATCTGCTTGGGCCTGATCTGCTCGGGCCTGATCTGCTTGGGCCTGATCTGCTCGGGCCTAATCTGCTTAGACCTGATCTGTTCGGGCCTGATCTGCTTGGGCCTGATCTGTTTGGGCCTGTCCTTGTCGGGCCTGTCCTTGTCGGGCCTGAACTCCTTGGACCTGATCTGCTTGGGTCTGATCTGCTTGGGCCTGATCTGCTTAGGCCTAATCTGCTCGGGCCTGATCTGCTTAGGCCTGATCTGCTTGGGCCTGATCTGCTCGGGCCTGAACTCCTTGGACCTGATCTGCTTGGGTCTGATCTGCTTGGGTCTGATCTGCTTGGGCCTGATCTGCTTGGGCCTGATCTGCTTGGGTCTGATCTGCTCGGGCCTGATCTGCTCGGGCCTGATCTGTTCGGGCCTGACCTGCTCGGGCCTGATCTGTTCGGGCCTGTCCTTGTCGGTCCTGAACTCCTTGGACCTGATCTGCTTGGGCCTGATCTGTTCGTGCCTGTCCTTGTCGGGCCTGTCCTTGTCGGGCCTGAACTCCTTGGACCTCATCTGCCTGGGCCTGAGCACTGTCTTGACCATGCGGGGTCGGGACAAGTTGCGTCGCTTGAGCGACACGACCTTTGCCATTGCGGTCGTGTCCATGATGGGTTTTGGCCTCCATGAACTCATTATTAAAGGTATATGTCCAGTACAGTGTAATGTGTGTGGACAAGGCGATTGTCACAGAGGTATCCAACCAATCGAAGTGCATACGAGAACATGGATTGAAGCAAGGCGAAGGAAGAAGGAGGGAAGTGGAACGACCGAGGTCAAGAAGGAAAATGGTACCGATCCAGGGAGATCGCTCCCATTTATAGCAGGTGGAAACACACACACAGTGGAGACAGAGAATGGACTATCACACTGAAGACAGGTGGAAGCGATATCAGCAATCTGTTGGGACCAACAGATGCCACAACAAGATGGTACAACCAGATGTTACACAACAAGGTGGGACAACATCAAGTACCAGAGGACACACAACGTGGTAAAGTATACCGTCTCAGATTGTGCCTCTAATACTCCCCTTCAAGCTGAGAACGGAAGAGCATGTCACACAAACGACGATGGCTCGGTCCATTGAGCAGCTTGGTGAGAAGGTCAGCAACCATGTCCTTGGTCCCGCAGAACCGGACATCGAGCTGGTTGCGTTCATACCTCTCTTGCACAAAGCGATACTTGACAGCAATGTGCTTGGGGCCCGGAGAATTGGCTCCGTTTGTAATCATGTGGATCGCCGCCTGGTTGTCACTGAACAACACGGGCTTGAAGACGGCGTGTGAGAGTTCACGAACCAGATGATCAACAAACATAGTCTCGCTGGCCGCAGAGTAAGCAGCCATAAACTCGGCTTCAGCAGTAGACGTGGCAGTGACCGTCTGCAGCTTGGAGCGCCACTGCACGGGTCCACCAGCGAGGTAGACAATGCAGCCTTCACGAGACTTACGACCAGTTTCTTGAGCAAAGCTCGCATCAGTGTAGGTCGTGAGGCGAAGGTGCTGGCCAGACCGATAAGTCAGACCAAGGTCCTTCGTGCCCTTGACATAGCGGAGCAGGTGCTTGGCAGCGTTCCAATGCTCTACGGTGTAGCAGCTGGCAAAGGAGCCCAGCATGCTGACAGCGGTGGCAATGTCAGGGCGAGTGTGAGTCATGAGGTAAATCAGTTTGCCCAAGAGCTCACGGTAAGGGATCGACGGGTCAATGTCGGTACTCCCCTTGTCGAGGCAAATGCCTGGACTCAATGGCATCGGCGCGGGCTTGGCATCGGTCATGTGAAAGGTAGCCAAGATATCGTCGATGTACTTTGTCTGCTTGATGGTCATGGTATCACCGTTGCGTGCAAACTCCATGCCCAGATAAGTCTCAATCTCACCAAGGTCGGTCATGGTAACTTTTGCTGCAGGAGAGCATTGGTCTGATCGAGGATGAGGCTGTTACTGGCAAACATCAGGAGGTCATCGACATAGAATAAATA